CTGCTTGTTTTGCTCAGAGAATTTTTAAAATTATTTACAATACTAACTACCAACCTGGTGCCTGCAGTAAGAACTATTGGTAATTTTAATAAATTAAAGAAATTTTAACCCAGAAGGATCATACGGGATGGAATCAATTGATACACCACATCTTCAGCAAGTAGAAAACCCAATTTTAACCCAAATAGTTACTATCAGATTTCTTTTTAAAGTGACCGCTTTTCCTTGGCCGGCTAGATCTCCTGAACCCACTGATCACCTCAGACATGAAGTTTAAGTGGAATGGAACTCAATTCTACCATGGATCTCCCTATTCGGGGAGAACCAAGAGAAATTATATCTGAGATAGAAAAAGCATGCATTAACTTATAAAAACTTATTATTAACATTTTCATATAAAGAGTCAAAGAAATTCTTTGAAAAATTAAATCATTTGATGCACGATATAATCTTTTATTTATCAAAAATATATGAATTTTTGATGGTGATTGCATTTTTAATGTCACAGTATAAAATAATTCAAATATAGAGCCATCGAAAAAAATACATATTAGGATACTTTGTGCAATAAAAATGACACTGGTATTTTAGCCGTTTCCCCAGAATATGATCTAACTTTACAATTTTCTGAATAAAATTTTTAATATAATATATTTACAACCTTTATATCGAAAGCAACAAATCAGAAATGACATTTATGATTTGTCGAATAGCAACCAGCATCATTTAAAGGTAAACTTCACAACACACTCTAATTACACTTGTTCTCGATGGCTTTGTATTATTTTTATTGTATTTTAATCAAAACACCTACATAAAACTCCACAAAACATTATTAACGAAATTAAAATCATAGTAACCAATGTGTTACGAAAACATTTACAACGGTTCTTAAATGTTTTAAATATTTTTCCGAAATATTCTTTTTGGTTACAGGGCATGTTAATAATTTTAGAAGCGAATTCTTATTTAAATTAATGAATACTAGGTATATTGGAAAAAAGCAGCAACATTTTCGGAAATTCTCTCGCTGTTAGTTCAATCAAGTTTCTAGGTTTCGACGCTGTCTCTGGACACCATCAAAATCTTTATCAAGACTTTCATGGGTTCAGTTTCCTCAGTCGTCAAATGACTTCACTTCGTTACAGTTATTCACTATTCACTGCACTATTGTACAGTAAACTGTGTAATAATTTAAATAAATTTTTGAAGTGAAGCATATGATCTCTTTTTCTCTAGTTCATCTGATTATCTCTTTCTCCCTTTATTAAATATAAATAAATTATACATATTTACTTTTGGAGCAATATCGTAAGGTTTTGTCTATTATTTTTTATCAACATTTTTGAAAACACCAATTTTTAGGTATCATTACATCTTGTATACTTATTTTAGTCTTTAATCAATATTTGAATGGCTTCAGATCAAATACGTACATGTGTCAAAAAAAAAAAAAAATAAATAAAAATTTAGTTAGTAGTGGTTTCTTACAGATTTCTTCCTGTTCTTTTTAACGGTGATAATAGTTTCCTTCCAACACGGACACAAATACGTTATTTTCAACTTCACAGAAGGTCTGTTTCAAAAACACATATCTCCCCAACAGCCAATGAGAATGCTGTATTGTGATCACATGACTGAAAAATCAATAATGGCCGCCATTGCATTCAACTTATCTGATGTTTATCGTTTTATTTGTTTAATTGTGTTCTATCACTAGTTTATACTGTTTTTTTTTTCGCATATTATTAGTTTACAAACTAGATTCATGGAGTCAAATATATCTGTCGATCCAGGGGCGACGTGCAAGAGGAAGAGCGATCCCATAAATGAAAAAAAAAGCATCTAGAAACGACAAAGTTAAGTCTAATCATTGAACTCAATCATGTACTTAACATTTGATTGCTGTAACAAATTGTCAATAGGTGGATGAAAGTTTGATATGTTAGAAGTTACTGTATATGTTCATCCCAGTTATCCATAGTTTTTTAAGGGCTATGATAATGTCTGATTTTAAAACAGAAAACTTGAAAGTTGGCTGTAAAAACATGACCCGCTTAGTACCACTTGCTAGTTTTTCATAAAATTGAGAGATTCCTAATGAAAATTCTGACTATTCACTTGAATGAATCGACTATTCATTGAAAACTAAAGTTTAATTAATTCCTCCTTTTGTATGTTCATGCAGATACTCAGCCAAAGGCCTTCCTCTGTACCCCACCTGTCATCACCGAGTTGGATACCAGTGCCAGCTTTTAACAATGCATGATGTCATGGAGTTCCACAAAGCCTTTTACTCCATCCCAGACAAGCAAGATGAGTTCATTTTTATACACTGTCGGGCTGGACCACCAAGGTAAAAAGAAAGAAGCTTCTTAAGCCTACAAAGGGGAAAAACAATCTTCCAATATTCGGTTGTAAACCACGTTGGTAAGAATCTCAACGTTTGCAGGAATGCTTTTCTCAAGGTGTTGCAGCCTATTACTTTGCATAGAATCATACGGGTGTTCCGAAAATTCAAGAACGGTGTATCTGATGTCCCAGTGGAAATTCGAGGCGGAAACCACAGGAAGTTAGGTTTGCTCCGAAAAGAGAAGTAAAAAAGTTCATCTGTAGTTTTCACGCTATTCAAATGCATTATTCACATCACTCATCACGTGTCTATCTACCATCAGACCTGAATATCGCCAAAATGTCGAAAATGTTCAATTATGGTAACGAAGAATTTGAGAAGGTTACTCAGGGATTTTCAGGAAAATATTTTGCTCAGACATTGGATTCACTTACCCTAGCATTCATGCATCTAGTACTTACCTAGAATTACAAAACCTTATCAAAGTGGAAAAACCGGAGGAAGAAAAAAGGTGTCTAAAAATGAAAATGGAGTTACACAAGAAAAGGCCCAAGCCTTTTTCCAACACCTGCGAAAAAAACCACAAGGATGTTTTAGTTTGAGTTTTGATTGTCAGAACAACCTTGTTTGGCCAAAAGTAACTGATAAATTGACTCCATTCGTTTGCGCTGAACAAAATAAGAATATAAATATTTTAACTATGTACTGCAAGTTCCTGAATAGCTGTGCTCCAACAAGCATACTGTTACGATAATAAATATTATGGCGTATAAAACTAAATATATTATGACTTTCTTTTCGGCGCTCAAACCTGTTTACCTGCCGGCAGAAATTACTAGACCCTTCGAAGACCAGTCCATGAGTCTCCTAATGGATGGAAGGTCATCGATGCATCGCCAGACCATTCTAGATAACGGCATTTTATATATAAATAATGGGGATTTTATTGGGAAGTTGGTCAAAAAAAAAGTCCGTGCTCGTGTACAAAATTGTATCGCACGTAGATAAATTATTAAGTGTAAAATAAATTAGTAGTAATAAAGACTTTGATAAATTTGTGAGTGTTATAAATATTGAACCTTTAGTAAATTAAAATAAGAACAATAAATTAGAATTAATAAAGACTTCACAATACGAAAAATTAAAACAGTCTTTCCTGTAACAGGGCACTCATTCCTTTCTGCCGACAGAGTATTTGGGATGATACAACAAAACAAAAAATCAACAAAATTGTGACAAAATAAGAATATCATGAAATTTTTAAGAAATATGGTACGATTAAGTTGATTGGAAGGGATTGGGTACCGTTGGACTGGAAACAAGAAGCGAAAAGTTTGATGAACACAGCGGCTCGAACTTCATTTCAAAATTTCCACCTACCCACGAATAGTTCTTCGGAAAACTAAATTGGGAAACATCGTTGTGGCGATGGAGAGATGGTTTACAACCTTGACACTGGTGCAGATAGTGCAAACTGCACTATTGGACATATCAACCCAAAAGAAATTCGTATTGGTGTGACCCTAAAAGCAGAAAAGGTTAAGGACGTAGCAAAATTGCTTGAAAAACATTTTGGAGTAAATTGGAGGGAGAATGGTACTTTGCAGCGGTACAAAAACATAATGCAAGCAGAACTTGAAATATCAGCTGAATGTGACGATTCATGTGAGTGTGAAAATAATAATGCTGATTTTGATGGGGATCTTGTGTTAATTTCAATTTGAATGTTTAAATATTTTATAAGTTAGAATATTCTACTTAATATATTTTTAGTTAAATTTCTTTGTAGGTAGGTACTAATGCAACTTGAATAAAATATTTTAAAATTGGTATTTTCATTTAAAAGACCTGATTTTCCATATGAATATTATAAGCAATAAATTTTAAGTTAGGTTTAAACCGAGGGTTCACTCTTTCAAATACAATTTTTTTGCATCAAAAATGGACACCTATCACCTTTGGATCAATCATGGACATTTACCAATTTTTTTTTCCAAAAGCGGACATCTGTATTTTGAAATAAAATTTTATAATAATTTCATATATTTCTGATATCAGAGTCCACAAGATTACTTTGGAAGCCTTAACTAAAATTATAGGAAGTGAGATTTTTATAAAAATAATAATAGCACCTGTGTACAAAAAACCAATTTATTTCAATTTTTCTTGCATGACACATGTCCGTCTTTGATATGAAGCCACTCATTTGTCTTTGATATATTTTTTTAATACTAGTTTACGTCCGATAGGTTTTTCAAATTTTAGTAAATTTAGTTTCACCTTATGAATATATTTGCAGAATTATCTTCATTAATCAATAATAATTGTCTTCTGTATAGAAGACGAGTTGGATTTGTACAATAATTGTACCTTTTAAGTACCTTGTAATCTTTTCTCTTTTAAGTTTGTTTTCACTGGTTATCTTGGATTGCAAAAACAATAACAGCAGATACATTCCCTTAGAAACAAGATAAATGTATAACATTGTGTGTGTTTATTTTTTATAGCTTAGATGAATTTAAAGATCGGTATAAATATCATTAATTATTTTACAATATTTATATAATGGCTGTTTTATTATAACAAATTTATTTAAAAAAAAGTGTAATGTGCTTTTTAGCGGAATTGTGTAAAGATCGCGTTTATGTTACTCCGGATCGGAAGAAATAGCGGCATCACCGTTAGTATTAATAACAAGCGTGTCGTCTTCGTTATAATCGATACTTAATACCGATGACCTCCTAATCCTTTTAACACCACGTGTCCGCTCCATTTCGCTTTCTGAGTCTGTCTGTTCCCGTTCGCACACACTAGTGTCACCGTTCGCCCTGCCGTTCGAACCCTGTTTTAGAGTAATATTCTCTTTTTGCAATACTTGGATAGTCTCTTTAGATTTTTTTAATTCTTGCTGCAAAAAGAGAATAGTACTTTGCATACCTTCGACGTCTTCATCTAAGTCCGCCAGAAACGAGTCCAATTCGTTTTGACTTTTTCTCACTTCCTCCGAAAAACTTTTTTGTAAGGCTAAGTCACTTTCGAGTTTTGCTATTCGTCCAGAACTGGTGATTTTTCCGAGCTCCTCGTTCTCCTGGTAGAGGAGGCGGCATTTTGCCATTAGCCGTTTGCCGGTATTGGAGTCGGGAGTGAACTTCCATGCTGATAGTTCGTTCTGGGTGTCTTCTAGCTTTAAATGGGTTGCCTGTAGTTCAGACTGGAGATGGTGAAGGATGCTGTTAACTGCTGGATCCAATAGAACCGTTCTTAAGGATGAGGTGGTGGGAACTTGAGAACTCTTCAACTCGTTTAATTGACACTAAAGGAGAAAGAGAACATATTAATAAAATAATTACTTTGATAAGAAATGTGACAAAGCATTGTGATGAATTATTTAGAACTTCACAACAAAGCTTTGCTCTTTTTAATTTCAAATTTAAGGACAGGTAGATTTTATCTTAGAACTATAACATGACTACTAAAGGTTGAGATAAATAACATATATTAATAAAATAAAATAGTTTAAGAAAAAATCTAAAAAAAATAGATACAAAAAGAAATACAGTGATAGGCAAAAGTACCCTCCCCCTCGTATCTTTAGAACGGTTATACTTATAATAGTGAAATTTGAAGCAAGAAAATAAATGGACGTATGTTTCTCAACTGGCCATAGCAGGTGACGTAATAGTGATCGATGACGTTACAAAGCCACTGTGACCGATAATTTTAAATGGGACTGTATGGCAAATGATATCTCATTTGAAAAGTATGGAACATACCTATTTAATAATACTAATTTTGTTTGGGTTTAAGTTAAGCTCATTTTGATAAATTAATTAAATATTATACTTTCGCATTTAATTAATAAAGATTCTATCATATGCCTCTGGTTATTTGTCAAAAAAGTTGACGTTTTTCAATTCTCCAGTTGTTTTTACTTTGCTAAGTTTTTGCAAAAGTGTTTATCTTGAATATTTAGTTGAATTATTGTTTAACGAGTTAAACGTTTAAATGTTTACAAAGGCTACATACTACAGCCGACAAAGTAGCAGCTATCTTAATAATTGGTCAATGTGGAAACAATATCCATGCAGTGGAACGTTTTTTTTTATGAGAGATACCCCGATCGCCCCATATCGAGGAATTATTTGAGGGAGCTTCTTCGGAAGTTTGAAGAAACAGATAGTGTTCAAGATGCCAAACCATCTGATCGACCAACAATTAGTGATGACAAAAAATTGACATAATTGCAGAAATGGTAAAGTCTACTTTTTCTACAGCCTAAGTCTATGAAATCATTAAGGACAATACACCAAGTGTTATCTAAAAAAAAAAATCATCCACACAAATGAAAAATTATGCACCAACTTTTAGATTATGATCCTGACCAAAGACTGGAATTCTGTGAAAATTATCTAATCAAATTAACCAACAGTCAGATTATATAAAAACAATTTGTTTTCGTGACGAAAGTACTTTTTCCCTCAATGGAAATGTTAACACACATAACGTGAGGTCTTGGAGTGACATAAATCCTCACGTCTTTCGTGAGCAACATAATCAATTTCAAATTTCATCAGAAAAAGTAAATGTTTGGGCAGGTATTTTGGAAACCACGTAGTTGGGCCTGTTTTTTTCAAAGCTAATTTAACCGGTGAAGCCTATCTCGAGATGTTACAAAACGCAATTGGGCCGTTCATTCTTTAAATTCTGGAAGATAATCCAGATGAATTCGGCAACTTAGAAATAAAGTTTCAACAAGATGGTGCAGTCCTGCACTCTATTATGGTGAAGTAAGACGTTACCTAGATGAGGAATATTACGGTAGATGGATTGAACGACAAGGTTCGATAGAATGGCCAGCTCAGTTACCGGCCTCACATCATTAGATTTTTTTCTGTGGGGGTACTTGAAATCTAAGGTTTACGCTACAGCACCCGACAGTATCAACATTTTGGAACAACGAATTGTTGTAGAATGTAGGGCAATTTTCCCCGTCACATGTGAACGAGTACGACAAGAATTTAGCAATTACAAAAATGGCGCGATAAACGCAATGTTCTGTGTCTAAGTACTAAGCACACAACTTAGAGATGGTTCCAGTGAAGAAAAGAGGACAAGACATTTTAAAGCCAAAAATAGTTATAGATTATAATAAATGTAAGGTATTTATTGATCTATCCGATCAAGTGAAAGGCTATAATATTTCCTTAATGCGAATCTAAAAATGGTACAGAAAGATGGCGTTGGAACTCCTAACGGGAACGTGTCTTTCAATTGATTATATTGCTCATCAAGAAATAGCAAATAATGTCAATATGGCAATTACTAAATTTAGAGAGGAGGTTGTAAAGGGACTATTGCGAGAAGGTGAAGATTTTACGCCAAATAATGAAAAGTCTGAGGAAGCTTCACATACACTGAAAGATGTTGGCCGAGCTAACAGAAGACGTTATTTGTTGCGTTATTTGTTATGCGAAGATCTCTGAACAATCGGGGTCCAATCGGGGGCCTTAAGAAAAACCCCACAAAGTTCACTGAAGTGCTCTAATTGTAAAAAACATTACTGTATATCTTGTTTTTTTTGTAGCGCAGAACGCAACGAAAATATAAAATACCAAAGCCCTTTTTTCCTTTATTTTAAGTTTTCTTGTACAGTTTTACATGTACTTTTGTAAGTAAATAAATAAATTTAAAATATAGAAACCTTTAAAAATTACGATTTTTATTTAAAACAAAAAAAGTCATATTGCTGAAAGGTGCCATAACTGTCTCGTATATATAGGCCAAATATAGCAACTGGACCGTCATGCCATACGGTTCAAGATCCCATTGATTTAAATGAATACGACGAGACCAACGCTGCTTCATATAACGAAATGTTTCGACGCTGCATATGAGTCCACATTGGTATCACACAGCAATTACGTCCTAGAAATAGACGAGACCACGTTGGTCTCATCTGGCACTTAATAACTTGTTAATTTATTATTATTTATTAATTTATTGAACTGTTTTAACTTCCTTGTTACAGTATTGTTATATATATATATATAATATATATATATATATATATAATATATATATATATTATATATATATATATATATATATATATATATATAGAAAAGAAATTTAATCTTTGCAGATAAGTTAAATAGTAAACTCTTAAATATTGGGGAAAAATCTGCAAAAAAACTCTAATGTGTATCAATTATTTCACCTAACGTTTTCGCCAAAGAGAATTAATTTGGCTTCTTCAGGGCTGAAAGAGAATAAATTATAATTAGCTACCATATATTATCTAATAAAAAACATTTACCTTACCGTGAAATTTTAGAAATGTCGAGTTATGATGTTAAAAAGCTTTAGCTAGTAACAACATAGTGGTGTTTTTTTGTTACTATGTGCAAAAAAGTTTATTTAAAGGAAGTAATTCTTTGAATTGTCGGCAATAACTAAATTTTTAATTGTTGTAAAGTTTGAATGTGAGCTTCTGTTTTCATAGAACGCAAGCGCCGAAACAATTACAAGTACATAGTTCTTTTGATATGTATGTCGTTAAAGTTCATTGGTAAAACCGATTAAGTTAGATCCCAGTCTGGGGAGATATTAGTTTAGAATTTTCTTAATTGAAATTCTTTTTTTTTAATTAGTATATTGTTAATTAATAATTCATGAACAATATACTAATTAAAAAAAAAAAGAATTTCAATTAAGAAAATTCTAAACTAATATCTCCCCAGACTGGGATCTAACTTCATCGGTTTTACCAATGAACCTTAACGACATACATATCAAAAGAACTACTTGTAATTGTTTCGGCGCTTGCGTTCTATGAAAACAGAAGCTCACATTCAAACTTTACAACAATTAAAAATTTAGTTATTGCCGACAATTCAAAGAATTACTTCCTTTAAATGTAGTTACATTGGGTTTTTCGATTGTCCTTGGGTAAACCTTTGCGTTTTAAGTTCAAAGCTACCATACATTTCCAACGTTAACAAATAAACTTTTTTGCACATAGTAACAAAAAAACACCACTATGTTGTTACTAGCTAAAGTTTTTTAACATCATAACTCGACATTTCTAAAATTTCACGGTAAGGTAAATGTTTTTTATTAGATAATATATGGTAGCTAATTATAATTTATTCTCTTTCAGCCCTGAAGAAGCCAAATTAATTCTCTTTGGCGAAAACGTTAGGTGAAATAATTGATACACATTAGAGTTTTTTTGCAAATATTTAAGAGTTTACTATATATATATATATATATATATATATATATATATATATATATATATATATATATATATATATATATATTGTTATGATATGTAAAATCGAGAAAAGTATTGGTTTGCTTAAAATATTTCAAAATTCAAAAACATTAAAATAATTCAGATAAGTCAAATAATGAACAACAAACATTTCGAAGAATGAAAGTCTTTTAATTTTGGATTACCTGTATTTAACAAAACGTAAGATATGCATAAATTATTTTCTTTGTTAAAATATATTTGTATGACGTGAATAAGCTGAAGTGAAATCCATAAGACAATTGAACAGGGTTTTTCCAAATATATTAGTGCAGTGATTAGGACAATAGAATAGATTTTAGAAAGATAGGTTTTTGTTAGTTTTTAAGAATTGGTAGGAAAATATTATTTTGTAAACAATGTTCGGAAAATTTATAATTGTAGGTAAAAATTTGTGTGTTATCAAATGGGAGATGGATGACGCATTTTGATTGGATGAAATTGAAAAAGGTGGGATGATTGGTTCGAGAATGAGACTTTAGTTAGTTTTAGAAACAAAAAAGATAGTCAGTTGGTTTCCAAAGGTAGAAGGCGAACGGCCGTTGTTCTCGGGTAGTTTCCCAGAGGTAGGAAGCAGTAGCAGTGAAAGTTAGTGAGTTTTCGTGTAGTTAGTGTATCTGACAGAAGCTGATCAAGTAAAAGATTGTAAGTTATATTTTCTACTTATATTCCAAGAGTCACTGTTCAGGCCAACGAGAGATTCAGTTTATCGTAAAGAAAAGATATTCCAAGAGTCAGTTTTTACTCAGGTCAACGAGAGATTCAGTTTATTGAGAGAAGAAGAAGCTAGCATAATTTGAACGTTTTGTGCATTTGAAGGAGATCATTAAGGACGATAAACTTGCAATAATTTGTTGTAAGATTGCTGATTACCTAGGGAGCGGCTACAAGTAAATAGAATAGTCTACAAGGAACAAGGATTTGGACCACTCATAATCAGAGAGAGATAGTTTGTTTTCTGCAGTTTTTCTTTTATTGATAACACAATTTTTTACACT